GCTTTGTCTGGTCATGCTGAACTGGGTTATGGGCAACGTTGATTGCTGTCGGGTTATCACAGTACAACATCATAGATTCTTCTGCCTGTAAACCAATCTCTCCTAACAGGGAACAGATCCAGAGGAGTTCTGAAACTCCATGTGCCATGGCCCTGTATTCAGCTTCAGCACTTGATCTTGCCACCACTGTCTGTTTCTTACTCTTCTACGAGACAAGGTTACCCCCAACAAGGGTGCATACTCCTGAAGTAGATCTCCTGTCATCAAGGCATCCTGCCCAATCTACAAATGTATAAGCCTCTAGTTTCAACTGTCCATGATCAACAAACAATATGCCTCTGCTCGGGTGTCCCTTCAGAAAGCAAGAATTCTGTCAACAGCCTCCCAATGCTGGACTCGTGGAGCATGCATATATTGACTTACCACACTTACTGCATAGGAAATGTCTAGTCTTGTCATACACAAGTATAGCAGCCGCCCCACAAGTATCTAATATCTCCCGATGTCCTTTGCTGGCTCACCTTCTGATGCATTAATTTTGTGATTCTGATCAATAGGAGTATTGATTGCCTTTGTTCCAAGCTTCCCTGTTTCTTGTAGAAGATCCAAGACATACTTCCTCTGAGAGATAAAAATTCCATGCTTTGATCTTGCAACTTCAATGCCCAAGAAGTATCTAAGTTCTCCAAGATCCTTAATTTAAAATTCTCTGTGTAGATTTTTCTCCAGACAATCAATCTCACTTAGGTCATTCCCTGTGACAACAATATCATCCACATAAACAATTAGGCCTCTGAGTGTAGCTAAAAGCAACCAAGGCTTTCCTGAACCTGTCAAACCATGCTCTGGGAGACTGCTTTAAGCCATAAAGTGACTTCTTAAGTCTGCATACCTTTCCCTTTTCAGCATCACTGTAGAAACCAGCAAGAAGATCCATATACACTTCTTGCAAATCTCCATTTAGGAAAGCATTCTTCACATCAAGTTGAAACAGGGGCCAAGAGTATGTGGCAGCAAGAGAAAGAAGTATCCGAACAGAGGTCATCTTTGCAACTGGTGCAAAGGTTTCTAAGTAATCAATGCCATAGGTCTGTGTGTACCCTTTTGCAACAAGTCTGGCCTTGTACCTTTCTATACTTCCATCTGCCTTATATTTGACTGTGTAAACCCATCTGCATCAAACAGTCTCCTTGCCCTCTGGTAGGTCCACAATCTCCCATGTCCAATTCTTAATTAAAGCTTCCATCTCTTCCTGCATACCTATCTTCCATTCAGGTTTGGAGAGAGCCTCACTGACACCCCTTGGGTATAGACACGGAGTCAASAGAGGAAAGAAAAGCTCAGTAGGAAGGAGAAAGTCCACTGTAGGATAGGCACTGTGAAATACAATGAGCAGTACACTTTCTCTTCCCTTTTCTAAGAGCAATAGGAAGGTCCAGGTTATCTATAATGGGGTTAGTAGAATCAATGGGAACAAAAACAATAGAGGTATCAAGAGGAATACCTGAATCCGTATTAGTTGAATATGGAGTCTCCAAGGAACCGACAGAAAGTGATGTGGGTTCTGCTGCAATGGAATCAACCTCCCTATGAAGTCTCTGTCATGAGTAATGTTGAGAAGCAGGACGCAAGGGAGGTGGTAAGGTAGGTGACATAAGAGGATCAGGCATAGGAGTTGACACAGGAACTGGAACTGGAAGAGGGATAGACTGCTCACTCACTTCCCCAAAACACTCCCCCTGAGAAGGATTCTTCGAGAAAAAGTATGTGGACTCAAAAAAAGTGACATCCATAGTAATATACCGACTCCCAGAGACCGGATCATAGCAGCAATACCCCTTTTGATTTTCTGCATATCCAAGGAAGACACACTTCTTTGCCTTCGGATCAAGCTTCGAACGGTGAGGACTAAGAATATGTGCAAAGCAAACACACCCAAACACTCTGAGAGGAATATGGAACATCTCCCCCTCAGGAAAAAGGAGGCTAAATAGGGTGTTGAATCCAAATATACGGGAGGGCACCCTGTTAATCAAAAATACTGTTGTGAGAACTGCATCACCCCAAAACCAAACTGGAACTGTAGATGTGATCATCATGCTTCTTGCAATCTCAACAATGTGTCTGCTCTTCCTTTCTACAATACCATTCTACTGTGGACTGTAGGAACAATTGCTCTGATGGACAACACCATATTCTAACAGATATGAAGCAAGGTGTTTTCCAAAATATTCCCTGGCATTGTCTGATCTGAACACCTTTGTTCGTGTTCCAAACTGTGTTAGCACCATCTGATGAAATTGCCTTATCAAGGGTGGTACCTCATCTCGGGATCTCATCAAGTAAATCCAAGAATATCGAGAGAAATATCCACAAATAAGAGAAAATATCGATAACCAGCTATAAAAGGAACATGATAAGGTCCCCACACATCAGAATGAATAACATCAAAAGGAGATGAACATCTTTTATTACTAGCTCTAAAGGAATGTCTACAATGCTTTCCAAGTTGACAACCTTCACACTCCAGACTTGACAAACTAACAGACTCAAATAGCTTTGGAAACAAAAGACTCAAAGAAGAAAAAGGCAAATGACCTAAACGATTATGCCACAGCATAATCTGACTCACAAACCCTGACTCACTATCCCTGCTGACATGATGACTCTGATGAGGAGGAAGCACATCCAGGAGGTAGATTCCATTCACTTCACGACCACTCCCAATCGTCCTCTTTGAATCCAGATCCAGCAAGATACAATGACCAGGAGAAAAAATTACTGAACAGTTCAAGTTCTTAATCAAACTACTAACAGATAACAGATTAGTACTCAATCTGGGAACATGAAGGACAGAGGGAAGGGAAATGGAATCACTAATCTTGACAGACCCCTTCCCAGCAATGGAAACATGAGATCCATCAGCTGTGGAGACCCTGTCTCTGCCAGGACAGAGCTGGTAAGAAGAAAAAATAGTGGAACTATGGGTCATGTGCTCTAAGGCTCCAGAATCTATAATCCAAGGAGGTCCCTCCTTACCTGAAGTAGAAACATAATTTGCAGTGACATGTGAACTACCTATGTGAGCAAAGGAAGTAGAGTGTACTCCACCAGAACCACTTGGACCTGGCTGTCCACCTGTTGCTGAACTAGAACTGGTTGTATCTCGCTGGTTCAGAAACTGTCATACCTCTCAAGTTCAGTCCTTATTGCAGCAGCTACAACAGACTCCAGAGTAACTGTAGTAGGAGGGGTCGGAATGTCACCAATGACTACCATGTGAGCATTTCCCTTCTTATTTTTGAGTCTATTCGGCACAAGATGGGGATGAAGCTTCCAACAAGTATCTCTTGTGTGTTTAGGCTTCTTACAGTAGTCACAAATCAAATCCTTTTTGTCTTCCTTCTTGATTTCACTACCACCCCAGAATTTTTCATCATCACATTTCTCCTGCTCTTTTCCCTTGACACAAAGGCATATGCTTGGGAGAGAGTGACACTGTCCCTGGAAAGAATGTGCTGCTTTGCAATATCATATTCGGGTTTAAGGCCAGCAAGAAATTCAAACACCCTATACTTCTCTAGGAGCTTCTAGTAGGCAGCTGCATCCTTAGTGGTTTCCCAAACAACTGTCTCCAAATGGTCAATCTCCTGCCACAAGATTTTAAGGGCTAAAAAGTAAACAACAATAGGTTTATCTCCCTGCCTTGTAACAATAATCTGATTTCTCAACTTGTAAGTCCTAGCAACATTCTCCCTCTGTGAATAGGTTTCTGCAACCCCATCCCATATTTTCTTAGCAGTATTTGCCCACAAAAAGTTTTTACTTATATGGGGCAGCATGGAATTACACAGCCAAGTCATCACCATATAGTTCTCCTGTACCCACCGGGAGCTGTTAGTTTCGGGTTTCACTTCTTCACCAGTGATATACCCTAACTTCCCATAAGCACCAATGGCCATCTTTGCAAATTGTAACCATTCTAAGTAATTTGAACCATCCAACTTAACTGTAGTAATGGTCCTAGCCTCGAAAAGGTCTCCAGCACCTCCTCCCACTGGCCTCATTTYAGTCCCAGGCTTGTTTTCAACTCCGTTACCCTCCATACTTCTCAAAAAGGGGATAGAAGATTATTTTAATATGCAAGAATATAAAATAAATCAGTTTTGGTACCAACGACACCCTTCTGGTGCCCTAGATGGTCCTCCCACAAAAGATTCCTTTTCTGCGGGACGAGAGAAGAGAGAAAAGAGGCAGCCACTCTCTCCAGAAACCTCCAAATCAGGCAAGACTTGAACTGCCCCTATAGAAAACTCCAAGGAACCCTAAAAATTAGGAAGCCACTTCCTAGGTCAAAATTGAAGAGTCCAACAGAAATAGGACTCTTCCCCTTTCTCCAGTTTCTCTTGATTTTGATGGAAAACCCTAGACCAGCTACAAGGCAAAACAGATCCACCAAAAAATCCAAAAACTGGGCTTACCTGAGATCTTTGATCAGCCTCTTAAATCACCATGCAATCGGCCGATCTAGGGCTGCATGAGAAAACAGCTCAAGGAACCTTCGGCCTGCTCTGATACCAAGTAGAAATCACTGTTTGGAAATCTAGATGAATTCCTTGTGAAGAGAAAGAAGAAGATGAAGAGTTTCAGCAGTAGAGAAGAAAAGAGAAGAAAGAAAGAGTAGGATGTCAACCAGAATTGAATTAGGTCTGGCCGCCAACCCCTCATTATATTTTGTACTTAACTTAAAAGAATAAAAGATTACAAGAATGCTCTTAGTAGGGCGGCTATTAAAGTAGCTGAACAGTCACAACTTAAAAACATAAGCTAATGGGGCTAAAGCCCAACAACTTCCTAACTTAACAACTTAAAAAATAAGAGCTAAATAACTAGGCCCAATAACTAGAAATCGGCCCAACTCAATAGCTACTAAAGGTAATATCTGATATAAACCATAAAAATAATGGTAACGAGACCAAAAAGTGAGTGTCTAAGAATACCTGTGGATGGACCATTGATCCACCAGCAGCCAATGAGTATGCAGTACTTCCAGATGTTGTTGATATGATCAATCCATCTCCTTGTACACATGTCATAAAAGAGTTGTCACAATAGCATTCCAGGTTTGTAAGGTAGGATGAAATCCCACGGTCTATAGTAACCTCATTCAGGACAAGAATAGGATCTTCAGTCTCTAATTCATCCTTGGCTGTGTCTCGGATAACATGACACTGCAAACGGTGGCGTAATGTGATACTAATAGGTCCCTTTATTATTCCATCAAGATAGTCTCTGTAGTGTTCACTTTCTGAAAGTTATTAAAGATGAACATTTGGATGCTGTAAATATAAAGGATTCTACATATTGTACATTATGGATACTTCCAAAGTCAAACAAAGCATTTACATGAATGAATAACTTCAACTTACTAATGCAAGATGAAATATCTGAACCATCTCTCCCAATTAAATGAGTACACTGCCCTGCCTTATCTAGAGTGATCAACACATGTCTGAGAAGTTCAAGTGTCAAGATTGGATCTTTTTAGTCAGTGACTGCTTATGAGTTTGACTTGTTTTTTCTTTATTTCTTTTATTTCTGGTCACAAAATAACTTTTCATACATGCTCAGTATGGAAGGACTACTGGGGGTCTGTACTAAGTATATGAGAAATGTAATTGAAATGAATTAATAAATGAAGTTCCACCCTTATGTTTTAGTTCCTTCAAGAAACTTTTGTATTAGTCAAATTAGAATATTTCAAGGAGTGGGATGCTTGCCCCTTTGTTTCTCTTTTGTACCACCTATAATGAACTTCAAAATTGACAATGAGTAAGGTGCATTTCCCAACCACTCCTTTTACTTTTTCATTCTCTTTTTCTTTCCCAACAAGTGTGTGAACCAATAGAGGCTGGACCATTTATCCACCAGCTTCCAATAGAGTATGCAGAGTTTCTCCATGTTATCTTGATAAGATCAACCCAATCCCTGGTTCAGAACAGGGTAGAACCACCCGAACCAAATGTTAAAAATAGGTAAACCCAGAACTGAACCAGACCCTAATGATTCTATAAAATTAGAACCAGAACCAAACCAATCGGTAATCGGGTCTCACCAGATAAGAGCCGATTAATTATATCCTGAATCACTAGTTGATCAGGAAGCACATGAAATACTCGGGAAAAACTCTATGGTGGCAAAACTCAATAGAAGTAATCAATAGGGCAATAACTCTTTTCTTATAGATTAGAGATAAAAAAAAAAACAAAATTGAAAAGAAGTTTATAGAAAATGAAAAATCAAAGGATAGGGATAACACTCACCATTCGATTCTTGAGTGTTAAGTGAACAGCGAAGCCTTCTAGACCCTTGTCTCCTCTTGTGAATTGTGACTAGAGAGGAGACAATCAGTTTGAATGGAAGTTCACAAGGGCCCAATCACCCATATATAGAGACAGACAGGAGGGATGGTAAACTGTGAAAAGACAGAGAATGAGAGACAGAGTATAGGACTTAGGTCTCACTTTCTCTGCATCTCAGAATCTGTGTCTCAGAAGGGGAGATGCAGCACCTTGCCCCACCAATGTGTTTCATCATGATCAATGTCTTTTGTCAAATTGCAGAACCTTTTTAATATAAAATAAAAGAACTTTTACTGAAAAAGAAAAGATTACATTTAGATAATCCTCAAACAAAACACTTTGTAATTTTAGGATGGTGTGGGTTTCACTTCATCTACAAACAAAAGAAGTTATAAAACTTTACAAAATATATACTTCAAAAGCAAAATCAAATTCCACTTACATAATTGAACAGCTTAACCTCCTTATGCATGATGAAATTTCTGAAGTTGTATTGCCTCATATAGAATGTTCAATGCACATTCAGGAAGTTAGGTAGTCATAATCAGCTCTTTGCTTGGTAAGTGATCATTTCCTATATTGAATTTGGATAGAGTAGAATTTTGGAATTATCCATTTGTCCAAAATATGCTTGTTAGTTGTTACTGGAAACACTGACAAGACTATAGAAGGTTTATGGAAGATTTTTCGAATAAACTAGTGGAGATCTAGCCTTAAGTTTTAGTTCCTTTGAGAACTTTGAGGCTTCTCCAATTAGAAATTCACAAGTGCTGGGAGGTTAATACATTTGTTCCCCATAACAAACCTAGGATTACACCAAGAATCAAGTACTTTTGCATACACCTTTTGTTTTGGCAGCAACAGTTCTTGAAACAGTCTGCTATGTGTGAATTGATGTCAGATCTTCAAAAAGTTCATTAATGTTAGATTGAATGGGAAAAACAGACTAAGAGCATTTTAGATAATCATGGACAAAGCTAGAAAAGCTAGAAAAAATTGTTAGATATAGTAAGTTAACAATGTAGATAAAGAAACCACATATATATGAAAATTATCATTTAAATTGGTTACTTTTAGAATAGCATCATTTCAAGTAAAAGATGGTTTAAAAAAAGATGCAGGATACGAAATGGAGTCATAAAACCCAAAGATCCTAGGGAAAATGGGACAAAAGGAGGAACTGGACCTTTGAACATTGATGCAGCCTGCAAATAAGAATAAGATTTCAAGTGTTGTTCAGTATTTGATTATAAAAGCACTTTTAAAGAATAACAAGGATAGATACAAATCATATGATCCAGTTTGGCACTAATCATGTTTTACAATATCTTGAAAAAATAACAAAAATAATTAACACAAAAGGTGCATTATGTTAAGTGGTGAAAAATTAGAAGGCACATACCCAAAGAACAGTTCCATCCCCACCAAGACTTATGACAAGATCAACTTTTGTATGCAGTAGTTGTATTTCCTCATCTGAAAGACAAGGACAGAATGTTTAAAATAACAATAGTTAAAACACGACTATACTAAATTCCAGATCACAGCAGTATACAATGATTTTAAGTCCAAGTGATTTCAAAATCATTACATGCTTTCTACTGCTACCTAACAACCAGGATGTGGAAAAAAGTGAACAAAATCCTAACAGGCTGTTACTGATGCTGATCCTGGCATATCAAGGGTATTGGGAAAGTTGGACTAACAGAGAAAGTTTGAAGTACACAGAGAAGTTGAAAGGGTGTGTCTAATGTGCACACACCCAAATAATTGTATTATATATCATTTGAGTACAAAAGGAGGGAAAGGACAAATCTGCCCTCCACTAAAACAAATAAGAAAGAGTTGTATATACAATAGAGAAATAAAAGATATTGTTCATAAGGTACATGATAATATGATACTCCCACCCAAGTCAGCCCATAGTATCTCTACAGCTCCCTCAAACTGATGCCGAGATAAAAGCATCAGTTTGTTAGTGTAGAAACCACTGATGTGGTCCCCACCTCTTTCTATTGTACTYGTATACAACTATTAGTTATTTAAGTCAGTCCACAATTAGTTATTAGTCTTTTATTAGGATTTTATTTATTAGTCTTTTATTAGGATTTTATTTTTGCCATGTAAGCAGTCTTATCCTTACTTCAGAATTAATATAAATAGAAAGAGGGGGGCGGCAGATTAAGCTTCCTCTTCTTTTCTAAAACCCTTCCTTCAAATTCTTCTTCTCTTCTTCTCTCTTTCTCCTCTCATTCTCTCCTCTCATCTTCTTAATTTCCTGTTGATTATACACAACAGCTTGGGCTGTTAGTAGTCTCATACAACTACATGGTATCAGAGCCAACCTAGGAAATCTTATGAAAGTCTGACATGGCYGGCTGCATAAGAATTTCCTAGGGTTGGAAAATTTCCAGCAAAAGGGATTATCGGCTGAATCTTGGAGATTGTTGAGATTAGGGTTCAGACTTATTTTTGTAGGTTGCGGCCAGAGTTTTGCTGAAGTAAGTTAATCTTTGATATTGATCTATTAAAAGATTACCTTTTTCTGGTTATTTCAAAGGTTCGACTGAAAGTTTTATACATTTAAAGAATAGTTTTTGGTTACTTTAAGAAGTGCGGCTGAGAGATCCCCCCCTTTTCTAGCCATTGACTGTGTTCTTGGCTTGTTTCTTGACCTTTGACTGGTTCTAGGTTCAAGATTCTAGTTTCTTGACTGTCGCCAATTCTAGGGCCACAGTTAGTTTCAGCCCTGCACTCTAAGTTGTTCTTTGAAGGTTACCTTTTTGGGTAGAATGCCAACCTAGAAGGATAAAGTAGATTCGGTTGTTAACAAATTCTGGGTGAGATTACCCAGTCTTAGTGATAGAAAGGTATTGTTTCTTGACCTTAGGTTCGGCTGATAGCAAATCCTGGGTGTGATTACCCAGTCTTAGTGATACAAGAGGCATTCTTTAACCTTTTCTTGACAAAGAATGGAGTTTAAGAGCCAAGGGGAAAACATTTTAGGGGCTGGTAGTGCTGGTAGCATACCTGAGAACAGTTTTCAAATTACCACTGTAAAATTTGATGGGTCAAACTACCTAGAGTGGGCCCAATCAGCCATGATGGCTATTGGGGGTAGAGGAAAGCTAAGTTATTTACT